GTAACGGGGATTCGAACCCACGACCCTCAGATTGCGAGTCGAGCGCCCTAACCACCTGGCCGGACAGGAAACTGACAATTTTACTGTTGTAATATTTGCAAGTGATCTTGTCTGATGTTAAGCTATGATATCAGTCTTGAATCAGCAGACTCTTTTTCACAGGTGACTCAGTGCTGTCACTGTAATAGTGTTCCGTAATTTGAGGGTCGTAGGGGCGTAATAAAAGTAACGGTAATATCCCATCATTCAGTGTGACAAGAGTAGCCCAAAAGTTGGCGATAGATAGTGTGGACTACATGCCTTTCCTCTTGTCTATCACTCCAAAATTAGGGACAGCTAGCGCATACATCCTTCGTGTAGCTTTCCGTGAAGTGCAAAAACAAACGAACTCCTTCATACGGCTCTACTTCCTGCTTCGTATTACCCAGGAACTTCATATTCGTTACATTGACCGAAGGCATATTTCATTGTGTTCTTCAATTTTTACCCCATGTGGTTCTAAGTCTATCTTATACAAAACCAGCATTAACTTGCAAACAACAATAACAGTGAATTACCATTTTTTCTGCTATGGCAGCGTTTTGGCTTTGAACTGAGAAACAAATTATTCATTCATATCCAGGTTGAAATACAATTGTTGGTAAGTTTACATAGCTGACGTTTCGTTGAAAAAAAGAGAGAAAAAGAAATGCCAGTTTGGAGAGAATAGTTTACCTATCCAGTATTGTATGGGTTGAAATACCCTATGGTATATATATATATGTACAAACTTTCCCAAGTAAAACTTTGGATTCTCAGTGTGCCTCTGGTAATAATTTTGTTCCCAAAGTACAATTTAGTTTTAAGATATAATAACTTTAAATATATGGTTTTCTTTGTATTCACTTTACCGACGGATGAGGCTCTTAATTTGGTTTTTAATTTGACTTTCCGATGTGAAGGATGAAGAGGTCTTTTTTACCGTAGTAGTGGTTTGTTTCAATTGCTGAATAAAACTAGTAACAGTTTTTTGTAAATAAAAATATTAGATTGTATTTAATTTTACTTATAAATGTAGACCACCGAAGTTCAACTCTTCAGTGTTACAGGATACGCTACTTATTAAAGTATTATATATTCAAGAGGTTCCCAGGAAGTTCAACTTGTGTTCTACCTGAACTGCTTTTGCATAATTTACCACCGTTAATAAGTCTGAGAATTAACCATAATTTACCAGCGCATTTATACAAACCTTTGAAAAACGTGTAAACTAGGTTTTTAGATACTTTTATAAATGATAAAATACATAAAATTTAGAAAAATGCTTCAAAAGAAGAACTGCCATTGCTTTATATAATCACCTTGCATTAGCAAGGAATAGTGAGTAACGTTCCTAAATATTATTGACCGACTAAATTTCAGCGAGCAATAAAACGTTGCTGTCTAGTTTAACTCTCGTGACTTGAAGACCGATGGATGAGGCAAAGTGAGAAACCTACAAAGTAACTCAAAGCTGTCATACATTTTTTATGGCTTTTAATTTGACTTTCCAATGTGAAGGACGAAGAGGTTTTTTTACCGTAGTAGTGGTTTGTTTCAATTGCTGAATAAAACTAGTAACAGTTTTTTGTAAATAAAAAATATTAGACTGTATTTAATTTTACTTATAAATAGCTTGTACTATATTAACTCTTTAATCGTCACGTAATTTCCTCTGGTGATTTTAGGATGACATGATTTGTTTTCATTCCGTGGTTTGTAGTAAAACCTTTGTCATACTTAATTAACAATACAAGTCATCTATTGTTACAAATGCATTGCAGTTATTTCGTATTTATTGCTATTACATTGACCAGTATTAAAAGTATCACTAGCAACTGCTGGCCATAAACAAGTTAAATTCTGATAAAACTCGCACAATGTTGTACCAGAATATACAAATTCTTAATAAGTTAGGTTCAAAAATAGATGAAGAATTATTCATTAAATACATATTGCGTTATCCAAGGTGTTGAAATGGTACATCCTCGGCTAACAATATGCTCGATATTACATTTAAATTTCATTGATGCGTAAGCAATATGAAGGCGACCAGCTGTATCAGACACTCAGCTCGACTTGAAATGCCACAAGGGAAGATATCGTAGACTTTAAAGGGGG